TGATAATCTTGAACTGCCAAAACAAATTTCAGAGTTTCCTCCTATCATCCATACTTTGAGTATATTCTACGCGTCAGCAAAAAAGGGTTCTCATGATTCTTCAAAATGATGATCGGTTTCGTCAAAAATCTCCTCCTGCATTAAGTATACATTTAAGGTTGAGGTTGAAGTCCGATAAGAAAAGGCTAAAAGTACGGTCAAAATAGAATCCGAATTTTTTCTGCGCGACTACTATCACTGTACCTGTAAAAGCTCTTCAATGACATCTTCCATGGTTAGGATGCCAACAGCTTCTCTTTCTTCGGGTAACTTTGGCAGTGGAGTTCCATTTAAGTTCAGAATGTCTGCATCAATGTCCTTTGTCCACTTCTTGCTCCTGGAACCTCCTCTAGATAAGTTGTTTCCAGTGTTCGGAAAGCTCTTCCACTTCTGAAGCGACCTCTTGCTTTTCAAAATTCTCTCTTGTGTGGGCTTTTCACCATCAAGGTCAATTTTCACATCCCTAACTGTATCTATGTTCGCAAATGATTTTTTACCATCAATAAGATAGCTTAAGAGGGTTTATCAAATAAAAAGGAATGAAACAAGAAGTCAATTCTTACAGTCAGCAGTATTATTGGCAGGCTGCTGATTCATCTTTTCACATTGTCTGACTACAACAGCCATGTGGCTATGTCCTTTCTGGAACTCATTCAATATGTCATATAATGGCAAGTTTTCTTGAACTCTTGCACAAGGACAAATAGATGAAAACATCAACTAATAAATAAACTTAAGCACATCAAAGAGCCTTCAAGATAACCTTAAACCAGGTACTTCTGAAGATACCTAGGAATCCTGCGGATAGTTACACTCTTTACAGGCACTTCATCTTCTGGATGAATTGTCAATAAATTCTTCACCTGTAAGATTGGAGTATTTAAGAGAAGACGCATATAAATCCAAAAAAAGAGAGCTACTTTTATTACGTAAGGCTGAATTGGCAGAAGATGAAACAAATGCAGAAAACAAATCCGAAAAGCTTGAATTTTTTTTTAACTAAGTCGGAACCTCAAACAAGAGCTTTATGTAATTCATCAACTCACTAAGAAATCTTACATGCTTTAAAGCAAAAAAGGAGCTTCCTAATTTTTGATGATATTTAAGGTCTCATAAGTTTCTAATTCCAGGTAAGGATCAGAAAAAGAACAACTATTCAACCCATCAGCAGAAAGAGGCAGATGAACATATAAATTAGCATACCAGATCATTTAATTGAATCCAGCCTTAGGCATCAACCCAGTTTGTACAAAAACAAAACTATATAATCTTCATTCAGTATGTCAAAAGAACCAAAGGGTAAGAAATTCACCAGAATAACTCCAATTATATTTGTAGGTTGCTCATAATAAACTGGCACTCTGCTATGCCCTTTCTCCAATATTAAGTTCATTAAATCCCTGTGCACAAATAATATGGAACGTAAAAAAAAGATTAAACAAAAGAGGGAAAGTACCTTTTTAATGGAATTTTACATTTTAGAATCTTTCACAATATCACAAACCTGTTCAACCGAGCATTAACGTCAATAGCAAAAGTATCAGATATAGGAGTCATTGCATCACTAGCAGTTTTCTCCGTGAGTTCAAGTGCTCCAGCAATAATTGTCGTCTCATCATGAGTTAGTTCTCCACCTTTTCCAGCCTAGCAGAAGCAATTGAAGGGGTTATTTAACTGACACCATATGATAAAAGCACAGAGAGATCTAGCCAATTGCGTTCAATATAATTTGGAATAACAATTTTTAAATAGTGGAATCTTAAACTGGAGATAACCAATGGCACAAAATTGATGACCCCAAGTAAACAATAGATAAAATAAATGAAAATGTTGATGGGAACATAATACCAAAGGGTTAGCAATCCGATGATATCCAATTTGTGACAATGGAAAGTGGAAGTTCGTATTATTTGATCATTGATAAACAATTTATTGTATAATAGTTAACACATTCACATTTTTTATCATTGATAAAAAATTTATTGGATAATACTCAACATAGTTACCACAGAATATACACATTCCTTCAACCCACAAAAATATACAGATTCCAAAATCAATAATGTAATAAAACAATCATCTTTTCACAACTTAGTTCCAGTAACAGGAGAATAGGTCAGATAGAGTTTATTCTTCTTGTTCTCAACCCATAACCAGTACGAATATAAGTTACCATAAGATCCTTAAAATTGCCCAA